TGCATCTCCAGCTTGAGGAAGCCCAGGCTCCCAGCCACATCAAAGTCTCTGGCTGGGAGGGGAGCTTCAGGAACTCCAGTCCCTTCCCCCGCTGGGTTTGGCAGGAATGCGAAACCTGTGGGATCTGACAAGATTCAAAGTCAAACCATTTAAATGTACATCTAAAGGTTTATATCATTCTAATGTAGGCAAAGCAGCACCTGTCTTATGTGTGACATAGAAGGATGAATCATTTATTTTAAAATACCAAAGAGTTGCCCTAACCAGTTTAGCTCAGTGGATAGAGCGTCAGCCTGCAGACTGAAAGGTCCCAGGTTCGATTCCGGTCAAGGGCATGTACCTTGGTTGCGGCCACATCCCCAGTAGGAGGTGTGCAGGAGGCAGCTGATCGATGTTTCTAACTCTCTATCCCTCTCCCTTCCTCTCTGTAAAAAATCAATAAAATATATTTTTAAAAATAAATAAATAAAATACCTAAGAGCAAATATGAGGCACTTTTTAACAGTGAATTAGCAAATCCTGGCCTATTGTCTATTTCTAATCTGAAGTCTCATCTTTTCATAGGTGCCTGAAGCCTCTCTTCTGAGGAGCATTTTTATAAAAAATAGTTTATAAAAAACCCTGTGGGATCTGCCCCCTGTGTCCCCTGCCTAACAGGCCACTGTTGCCCACTTCAGATGGGGTAGCTGAGGAGGTGGGGGACCTAGAGAGGCACCCACTGTGCTGCTAAAAAGCTCAGTTCTGAGCAGCCCCCATCCCCGGCCCCTACGGCTCCCGGTTGGCTCTGTGACCTTAGCAAGGCCTTGCTGCTCCCGGGGCCTCAGTTTCCCCATATGCGCCATGGAGAATAGACTTGGAGGTTTGCAAGGTCCTGCTGCTTCCCTGCCCACATGCAGATGGGCCCTGCTGTCCACCCCAGTCCTCCACCCTCCTGCCCTGGGAAACATGACCGCTAAGGGATTGAGGCCAGAGGCAGGATGAGCCCCAGACCTCTGTTCTTGGTAGAATTGCTGACGGAGTTCGGGTCCACGGGCCCCAGTTGAAAGAGCAGAGGCTCTGGGGTCAGACAGGTAGGTATAGGGGCAAATCTCAGTCTTTCCATTTATCAGCTCTGGGACCTCAGTCCCGTGTCTTAACCTCTCTAAGGCGTGGTGGGTGATGTTAGGAGGAAGTTGCAAGGATCCAGAATTTGAACTCGAGTCAGCTGGTTGCCCACTATTATTCTCCACTACCAGTCACTGTTGATCAGTGTGGGAGTGAGCTCCCCATCACAGGGGTGTGCAGGTCTGGCCTACAGGAGCCTGCCAGGAAGCTGTGTGCTAGGAGAAGACAATGGCAGACTCCACTCTCCCTCCACACATCCACCTTGAGGGAGTTGGGAGGCTCCTGAGATTCAGGTGCTGACACTGGGCTCTGCTCTTGTGAGTGGGGCTTAGAGGTCTGCCAGGAAGCTGCGTGCTGGGGCAGGGTGCTAGGAGAAGACAATGCCAGACTCCACTCTCCCTCCACACATCCACTTTGAGGGAGTTGAGAGGCTCCTGAGATTCAGGTGCTAACACTGGGCTCTGCTCTTGTGAGTGGGGCTTAGAGGTCAGCAGACCTGAATCCTGACTTCCCCTCTCTGAGCCTCCACTTTTCCCTCTGTAAAATGGGTCAGCAGCAGAACCAACCGTGGGGATTACATCCCTTCATCAGTGCCTCACACAGGTCAGCTCCTGGCAGGCAGTAGTGTGTAGAATGTGCTTGGCACTTATTCACTCCCTCTCTATCATCCATCCCTTTTTCACAAGAGCTGCGATTGGCCAGGTTTTCTGTCCCAGGCAGGGGCTCCTCCCCACCAAGCCCCAGCTGTGACTTCAAACATCTTCCTGGGAAGTGGCTCCCAGAGAACAGACATGTGGCTTCGATAGAAACCCGGGCCTGCCTCCAGTGGGGTGGGTCAGTCATGCTCATTTGGGGAAGGAGGGTCAGGAGTGGGGGACCTGTAGGACGCAGGACAAGCTGCAGAGTGGCCAGAGCAAGGGTGCGGGTGTGAGGCGGCCCTGGCTCCTTGCCCTGCACAGTGGAGCGGGGGAGAGAGGGAGGCTGGGGCCCGTTGCCTCCTTCTCCCTCCAGACAGGAAGCTTGGTCCTCTTTCTCCTGAGCCAGCCCGGCTCTGGAGCTCTCTGGTGCTCCCAGGGGATAGCAGAGTCCCCTGGGGAACTGGGGTTTTAGACGGTGTCTTCTCTAACACCCTGCCCCAGTGCAGAGCCTTCCCGGCAGGCTCTTCGAGGCCCTGACTTGCACACCTGCTGTGATGGGGAGCTCACTCTCACACTGATACACAGTGACAGATAGTGGTGGCGGGGAAAGATGGGCAACTGGCTGACTTGGGTTCAACTTCTAGCTCTCCCACTTCCCAGCTGTGTGACCAAGGCTGTTTCCTTACTTGTAAAAGGAAGACAACAGCTCTCACTATTATGGCTGCAGCTGCTCTTGTTGTTACTATGATTACAGATCACATAACCTTTCTCCCAGAAAGGCTTCGATTCCTAGGATAAGCAGGCTGCTGTGTGATTCCGGCCCAGCCCTCGGCACTTCTGGGCCTCTGCCCCACTCCCAGAGCTCTCCCTTTCCAGGGAGGTTTATGCCTCAATGAGAGATGGAGGCCAGCAGCCAGAAGGTATCTCTCAGAAAGGTCCAGAAGCCCACCCTTCTGCCCAGCCTCTGTCCTGGCTTCCATGACCCAGGACGCCCACTCCAATCTGGCTTCATCTCCACTAGAGCCTTCTCCACGAGTCAGGTTATCACATGGTCTGGCTGTGTCCACCTGACGCTGAGGCCCAGAGAGGGGAAGGGGCTTTCCTGGGGTCGCACAGCAAGCTGGCAGCAAAACCAGAACTTGCACCACACACCCTGTCACCAAGCGTTGTCTTGAACCTGTGAAAACCCTCAGCCGGTTCTGCACAGCAGGATATAAGCTTCCTATTCTGAGGAAGGGACTGTATGCAGATTCACTGAGCCATGCCTCTGTGCCCTGACCCTTGGGAGCCTGCAGCCTCCTCTGGCTGCACCAGGTTTTATTGAGCATTTACTATACAGGCCGGCTGCTGAGCTGCCTGTGGCATTCCTCCTGCCTTGCGGCAAGGATTTCTCATCCCCGTTTCTGAGCTGAGATAACCGAGGCTGAGCGAGGAGCAGCCCTTTGTCTCTAAGACATAGCATTTCCTGAGCACCACGGTGTGTAGCACTGGACCCCATGAGGCTGAGCGAGGAGCAGCCCAGTGTTTGTCTCTAAGACATAACATTTCCTGAGCACCACGGTGTGTAGCACTGGACCCCACTGGGCTCTAAGCGTGGAGACGCTGGGAACAAAGGCTCCCAGCCAAACCACCCAGCTGCAATCCCCACCACCCCAGGACCTCCCATTCCAGTTCATTTGGCCCGTGAGACACTATCTAAGGCTGTGGTGTGGAGCTGAAGCATCCGGAACCCCGGGCAGCTGATAAGAGGAAGCGTCACTTTTTCCAGCTCAGTTAGTAATTGAAAAGTTCCCTGTTCCGTTTTTAAGTAATTTCTTCTTGTTCAGTTTTCTCATCCCTCACCCTCCCTCCACCCAGACACTTCCCCAGCCCTGTTTTGTGGCCGGTCCCCAAGCTCCCAGGCTGGGCGGGCCAGCCTCCTTCAGAGGGTCCTCTGTGTGTCCCCAGCACGGCCTCTGACCCCTGCAGAACCGACCCCACAGTTTCTCCACGGGGCCTTTCCCAGGGGACCCCCTCCCATCTGTGTCCCAGCCCAGGGAGGGGGAACACGGGCAGTGGGTGGCATCCTGAAGGGATACCAGTTGCTAATGTGCGAAGGGACCTTAGACAAGTCACTTCCCTTGGCCTCAGTGTTCCCATCTGTGCAGTGGCTGCAAGGGGGAATTTTGCCAGCTCTCATAAGACCAAGAATTTTGTCTCGAGGCTCAGACCTGAGCCCAGAACTCCAGAGAACAGCCGCCTGCCCCTGTCCTGCTCATGCCTTTCCTCCTGTGAGCTAGGCCAGAGTAGCTTGTACTTTGGCTGGGGAGGGAGCTGCCAGGTCCTTCTCGGTCAGTTTCCCCAGGACTGTGGTTCATATACCTGTTTATGCCCAAGTGCACTCTGGGAAAAGCATGAGACAGCAGAGTCTGAAGACCTGTCTGTGGAGACTTGGCCATGTGTTTCTCGGCTCTGGCCCTCAGTCTCCACGTCTGTGAAATGGGTTGGCTGGCTGACCACCCAAGGTCTCCTGAAAGGTTTAAATGTACCACCAAGCCCATTCTGGAATGGCAAGGCCTCTAGCTGAGTCCACCCAGGCGAGCCCTCCGCAGAGCCCTCTCTGCAGGCACACTGCCCAGGGGTCACCCACCTCAGGGTGGGAGTGAGCGGGAAATGGAAGGAGGAGGGCACCTCAGGTCCCAGCAGTGAAAAGCCCAGGGCTCTAGGCAGCCCCACCCTCCTGGTTCCCAGCCCGAGGGAGACCCCTGCTGTCCACTGTGCTAGTCCCTTTTCCCTATTCCAGGGCCCCCGAGGACCAGATGGACCAGCTGGGGAGCAGGGATCCCGGGGTCTGAAGGTACGGACCCCCCGTGGCCTTCCCTTCCTCTCACCTCCCAGGATGCGTCAGGAATCCAGGAACCTGAGCTCACACCCTCCTCAGCAGTCCCGGGGTCTGAAGGTACGGACCCCCATGGCCTTCCCTTCCTCTCACCTCCCAGGATGGGGCAGGAATCCAGGAACCTGAGCTCACACCCTCCTCAGCACCAGACCCCTTGGGGACAGCCAGGGATCCCTGAGCGGCTGTGGGGTTGTTCCTGAGAGCTATCCGACCACTCCTCCAGCCCCCTCTCCCCAGCGCTGGCACGGGTCAGGGAAAGGGAGAAGGAGCTTTGAGGCTGAGAGTGAGAGTGAGAGAAAGCATGTGAATGAGAGAGAGAGTGCAGAGCGTGTGAGGGAGGAGGAGGCACGTGTGGCTTCTGGCCCCTTCCCTAGGACCCCAAACCCCTCCAGGGCCCCTGAGAGCCCAGGATGCTTCTGTTCCCTTCAGAAGCACCTACGGCAAGCCAATCTCCTTAGTGCCCCACCTGCACCCTGGGAGTGGGGTGGATCCCAGGGGAGGGAATGCGGGTCCCTCCTCTGGGAAGGGCCTCCCAGTGCCCTCTCCACCTCCGAGCGCTTTGCTTCCCGCAGGGCCCCCCAGGACCGCAGGGCAGACTGGGCCAGCCTGGGCAGCAGGTACGTCAGGCCGCGGCTGCCAACCCCTCCCCGCTCCCTGCTTTGTGACACGTGCCTCTAATGAACCCAAATGTGCTTCCAGGGTGCAGCCGGTGAGCGAGGGCACCTGGGCGCACGAGGCTTTCCTGTAAGTATCACCAGTTCTTGAAACTTCATGGGCTGTGCGGGAGGATGGCAGCCCCTTTAGCCAAGTTCCCATCCTGCTGTGCAAGCTCCAAAGGTTCTAGGCCCACTCCCTGCCCTGGAGACCCTGCAGCCTGCCTCTCCCTGGGGCTCAGTGTGCCCATCCGTCACCCAGCAGAGAGGGGGGTAGGACCCTCATAAGCTGTGATGGCTTGACTGAGGCCAAGGGGACAGGCAGGGTGGAGAAGGCCACGAGGGACGAAAGTCACCTTTGCTTATCTCTGCAGGGCATCCCCGGCCCCTCGGGCCCACCTGGTACCAAGGGCCTCCCAGGAGAACCAGTAAGTGCCCTTCCCTCCCCGATCTGCATCTTTGCTCAGGCAGATGGCATGGCCAGGGGGTCCCACTGGAGAGAACAGTGCTGGGCTGATGGGGCAGCCTCGGTTGGTGGGGAGAGCACTGGCTGGGGAGCTCAGGGGCTCTGGGTGGGGTCTAAGCCTCCGTTTTCTTGCTAGTAACATGGGAATCATGGCTCCTCATGCCTTTGCCATCCTGTCGTAAAGATGACAGGAGAAAATGTGTGTAGAGTGCTTAGCACAGTGAAAAGCCAAAGAAGGGCGGGAGGGCGGGAGGGCGGGAGCGGGG